ACAGTAATGTTTTAAAAATCCCACGGAAATTATAGCCTACTACTAACTTCCTCTTTTTTGCCAGTGGAATTCTCACATAACGTCTGTGGACAGGAAATGAAGGACCACGAAAACATTAGCACTTTCAGGCGAAATAGGACATCTAAATTTTATCTCATTGTATTACAAGATACTTTGGTCAGTTAATTTCCTCCTATTTGTGGGCTTATTGTTTAGAAATATTTCAGTCATTGCTTGTAATTTTCACACCAACAGCGAACAGATAAAGCCCGTGCCCTAAATCGGTTCTGCTTCACTTATTTTGAAAGTCCAGTAACCGGAAATTTTGTTATAGTCTCCCCCCTGCACGTTCTGTACGTTCATACGTCAATGTAGCGGATCAATGACAAAAGAGGGCTGTGTGGTAATGCCCCCCTAAACATGTCTGTTTTCCCCGGGGTTGCATGCTCCATATGACCCGGGATGGGACTCTCTCCGCCGCCTAAATCGGCGATTTAGTTCACTGAAGCGACGGAGCTGGAGCGTTAAAACAAACAGAGGCTAACGGGCTGTTTATTTATTCAAGAGAAGATGGCGGAGTTCTCGCCCGTCCTGCCGATGCGGGATGGAGGAGGACGATTTGCCCAGCCCATCTTCCCTCGGTCCAGGTCCGGTTCCGAGTCAGAGAGTGAACTGTCCCAGAGTCTGGCCCGGACCAAGATCCGCTCGTACGGCAGCACAGCCAGCGTCACGGCCTCCCTGGGGGAGAAATACATAGAGCATCGGGTTACAGACAGCGATACTCTGCAAGGGATTGCTCTCAAATACGGTGTCACGGTAAGGTCGCTTCTCGGCCATAGATAGCAGTGTATGCGTTGATGTTTACCTTGACGGAACTAGAGATTGCATTAAACACACCACACTGACAGAGAAGAGGAGCAAACACTGAAACGTACACAAGGGAAGGCATTTTCTCTTACTTTCCACTCTCTGATTCTACTAAAAGTCACGCACTAAGAAATCCGAGCCCAGAAAGTTGTCCGTAAACTCTCTGGATTGTGACTGAACACCTGGGGACTATTTCCGTTCACCTTGAGAGAACAGAAGCTCACTTCCATATTTTACTTTCGCTTTTACTCCTAATGTAAACATCAGGCAGTTCTGAGGACCCCTCGAAATGCAGCAAGATTATTCCAATTTGAAAGAGGCGTGAAATATTTGCTTCGAGGGTTCAGAGTTTCCACTCTGAGTTCAGATGGATGAGAGCAAAAGTTTGACAAGCTTGCTGTGAGGATGATCACTTGGTCAAAAATGGGCTCTACCTGAGTGTCGACATCTCCAGTTTCCTCAAAAAGTTCACAGTTTGTGAAGTGACTCTGCACGATTCCTATCCAGGGTTAGATAAGTAATCTGGCTCACATGCAATGCTATATTCTCTTAATAAAAAAACAAAACAAAAATAATACACACACATGCAGGATATTTACCTGCCGTGAGTTAACCACTTCCTGTTTCTTGTTCATTTTTACCCGAAATGACCTCTGAAACAGCCGAAAAATACCCTGCCAGTCACTTCAGTGGTTCCCAAATGTAAAACACAAGTTTTACTTTGTTTGAAGGGCTGCTGACAGAACTGACTGATGTTCAGACTGCTGTGAAAGTGTTCCTCTAATATATTACTAATATATTTAAGTTTAAAGACTGGGCTTTTGTGTAAAATAAATAAATACCATATACACTCATCAGCCACTTCATTTGATACATCAGCTGCTGGTTATAGCAAGTGTGTAATTAGCCACTCACATGGCAGCAACTCTGTTGCATTGCGACATATAGACATGGTCACGATGACTTGCTGAGCATCAGAAAGGGGAAGAAGTATGATAGAAGTTACTTTGAACGTTTCATGGTTGCTGGTTCCAGATGGGCAGCTGTGAGTATTTCAGAAACCGCTGATCTACTGGGATTTTCCCACACAACCATCTCTGGGGTTTACAGAGAATGAAGAATAAGACAGAGCGAGAGTCAATCCTCAGGGAGAAAATGCCTCGTTGCTGCTAGAGATCAGAGGAGAATGGCCTGACGTCTTCGAGCTGATAGGAAGGAAACATTAACTCAAATAACTGCTTGTTACATTCAAGAAGAAGCAGAAGAGCATCCTGAGTGCACATCATGTTGAATCTTGAAGCAGATGGCCTACAGCAGCAGAAGAAGACCACATTGGGGTCCACTCCTGTCAACTAAGAACAAGAAACAAAGCCTACACTTTCCACAGGGTCATCAAAATACTCTTCTGAGCACTCAAAGCGCTTTACACAACTTGTGCATTCACCCATTCACACAAGCACATTTTTTCTAAGTGCTTTCTAAGTAACATTCACACACACTCATACTTCAATGGATGCATCAGAGAGCAATTTGAGGTTAACATCTTGCCCAAGGATATTTGGCATGCAGACTAGGGGAAGCCAGGAATCGAACCACCAACCTTCCAATCAGTAGATGACCTGCTTTACCGCCTGAGCTAGTTTAGATAGTCTGGATTTCTGCTGAGATGTGTGGATAAGGTCAGAATTGATCATAAACACCACAGAAGGTTATGTCCCTCTTGTCTCCAGTGGTTGTGGACGGTACATCAGATTGATTGTCACATCTACCTGAGTATTGTCACTGACCATCGTTTATGGCCGCTTTATGCAGGATCACAAAGCTCAAGTCATCTCAAATTGGTTTCTTGAGCGTGACAGTGAGTTTGCTGTACTCAAATGGCCTCCACAGTCACAAGATCCAAATCTGGCGGAGCATCATATACTGACGTGGTGGAACAGGGCATTCTCATTATTGACGTACAGCCGATAAATCCACGGCAACTGTATGATGCTACTCTATAAAGTCAATATGGAGCAAAATCTCTGAGGAATGTTTTCAGTGCCATGAAGAATTAAGTCAGTCCTGAAGGCAAAAGGCGATTCAAACCGGTACCAGCAAGCTATAACTAACCATGTGGTCAGTGATTGTATTTAAAATACTGCTACCAAATATAGATACACAGATATAAGATGATTTTCTTTTCAGATGAGAGGCAGGGGTGCCATCAAAGAAAGTAAAGTGTGTAGTCAGAATTTCATCAGAATTGATTAAATAGCGTTTTAACATTTCTTTTTCTTTCTTTCTTTTTTTTTTTTTGCTGTCATCTTCCAGATGGAGCAGATCAAGAGAGCCAATAAGCTGTTCAGCAATGACTGCATCTTCCTGAGGAACAGCCTCAACATCCCCGTGGTGTCAGAGAAGCGCTCCATATTTAATGGACTGTCTCTCGAGTCTCCTGATGGGGATGGTGACACGGCTTGCCAGGAGGCAGACGCACCTTGTATTATCACGCAGGACATCGAAGGACCCTCGCCGCCCCCTTCCCCGCCCCGTGAGCACTCCAGACCTGCTCAGCCTCAGCCAGAGGAGCTGTCAGCCAAAGACTTCTTACACAGACTGGACTTGCAAATTAAACAGTCAAAGCAGGCTGCGCGCAGACTGAAAGAAGAAGAAGAAGTGAGGTGAGGTGTTAAACAACAGCCAGCAAACTGCTTCCTCTTTTATGTGTGCTGATAAGTATCCACTTTCATACTATTTTTGTGAGCACCATTGCTCATTTCAGGTTTTTTCCTCTGGGCCGCTGCTTCTCACACTGGTGCTTTCTTCTAAGCATTGCATCCAATCAGACTTTGTTCTGATTGACCTTTGCCTCATGGTCAGATGCAAAAACTGATACTGTGTCTTGGTTTGGTATCAACCAATGACACGATATAAATGCCAAGTCATTTTTTTTCAAGCGTCGTAGACAGGAAGCAGCATAATGTTTGTGTGTTTTGACCTCGATTGACCAATGTTTCACCTCCTCACGTGTCCCCACACAGATGTCACTGCAGGGGCTCGCACACTTGCTTTTAATTTTCCAGACAGCTTCCTGCTCTTTTCTCATATGGGCGCAGTCCAGAAAAGTTCAGGGCTGCAGTGATTTTGCGGAAACGGCTTACAGTGCAGCGTCGTCTGAAGTGAACCGCTCTCATCTTCTCTTTGAGCTCAGCGGGAGCTCGTCAGAAATCCCAGTCAGCATGAATAAGCTGTTTGAAAATCTTTTCACAGAGAGAAGATCGAAGCTAGGAGTACAGGTTTTTGCCGTTCTGCAGTACTAGTCAGGTATTTAGTGTGAGATCTGACTTGACCTCGCACGTCCTACCTCTGTGTGCTGAGGCAGAGAAGCCGGTCGCGTCTGCTCAGTAGTGAAGCAGCAGTAAGTGCCTGGTGCACAGCGTTCATAGAGAAACGGGCTTTGTTGGTACTATCACTTTGGAGGACTGAGTCACGCTGTGAGTCATATTGCTCCCGCTATCTAGGATTTAACTTCAATATTTGGTTCACACATTCGCCCAACAAGCAAAAGATCCCCCAGTTCGATCCCTGGAGGAGATATGTGTCCTTTGGGGGGCAGTTGTGTCATGAAGGGCATCCGGTGTAAAAGATAAAAGCAAAATCTGTCAAATTAAATGTGTGCATCTGCCCGATGTGCTGAGCCCCTGTGAATAAGGGAACAGCTCAAAGTAGATACTCGATTGAAAAAATAACCATTAGTGCGTTCTCTTCCTATAATATATATATATATATATCCCCCTTTACTGCCTACTACATACATTACAGTGCAAAATTGTGTCTCTCATTTCATTATTACACACTTTCTATCTATTCAGCTCATATGCATTTCCTATGAATCTATTTTTAAGCTCAGATCTGTGCTTTTAACTCTAAATCTGTGGTTTGGTGTTACAAAATGCATCAGCTTTTAATTTCTCTTTCAGAGTTCGCCTGCTGGCTTTGTCAAATCTGTGCTCTGTGTTTAGTCCCGCTTCTGACTTCAGTCACATAAAAGGCTGCCTTGTAAAGCTGTAGTGTGTTTAGGCAAACAAAGGCGCACTCCCTTGTTTATACAGAGTGCTAGGGCAAACACGAGCAGCGTGCCTGCTTGACTTTAATGCCTGGGATGAAATGAACCACAAGCCCCCTTGAGCTAAACTAATGACAGGCCCAGTTCTACCTTCTGAAGACCTTCTATCATTTGTGCACACGTGGCTATTATATTACAACAAGTTAGGAATACAGCACAGATTAATCTGTAAAATTGTGTTTGCATGTTTCCCTCTGTCCTGTAGTCCCACCTGTCTGCCTTCTCTTGAATATAATGGAAGTAGCTGGCACTCCTTTTAGGAGTCAAAGTGCTTAGAAAGAAAAAAAAAAAAAACATTATCCAGTTTCTCAGAAAATAGGGCAAAAATTGTAAGAACTGTTTTTATTCTACTGCCTGCATGGCTTCTAGCTAACATTGTAGCTTCAGTGAGAGGGAAATAAAATTGCTTCTACAGAAACGTCTCACAAAGAGGTTTGTGGTTTGGTGTTGTTTGTAACTGGGTCATGTTTTAGTGAAAGTATTCACCTCTTCTGTGTATTTTCAACTACAGGTGCTATTTGGTAAGGTTAGTAACATTCAAGAGATTACAGACACCCTCGCTGAAATTTTCAAAACTAGGCAGCTCATGTTAGAACGATCTCAATAGCTCCAGAGGTTTGAAATAAAAATACATACATTTGATTGGTGCATACTGGTGGAATAACCATTACAGAAACATAAACAATGTCAATAAAATGTTTGTTGTTGTTTTTTTTAAAATTACCGATACTCTTAATTTAGGACAGCTGTGGGATAAACCTTACATTAGATGGAGGTGTGATATATCTGTTAAGAACTTTGTGTGTTTATATGTATATTTTCAGGAAATCTGTAATCTAATGGCCGCCACTCATTTGAATAAACAAAATAACTGTGGAATCTGGTGAACCAGTTAGGTTTCTGCGAGGGTTTTTGAAAGCCAAACTACACTGAGAGTGAGTTATTTGTGGTTTAAAAGACTGATTTTATCCTAAGTCGAAAGAAATCCGCCACATCGCATTAGCGGTCATTTCGCTTTTTACCCTCAAAATTGTGGTATAAAACCTTTTTTATGTTCATCCTCTCATATTTCAGCCTCTAGTTAAATAAACTCTCTGCAGCTTCAAGGCTGTAACATGTTTTTTGAAAATTTCCTCTTGTTTGCAGGAGCAGCGAGGAGAATTACGCGGCCCCCACAACATCATACCAGGAGATCTAAAGAGCAATCTGTTTACCCAAAGTCTCGGACACGCTTGCCCACGCACACAAACACTACCGCAGCCTCGTTGCTTTTTTCTTTTTACCTTTTCATGTTTACTGAACAGCGTTCAGCAAGTGTCATTTCTGCCTTTTTATTTATTGAAATGCAGTTCTTATGATGTACATTACAAGCCCATTTCCAAGAGTGCTGCTGTGCTGTGTGAAATGTAAATATTAACTTAGCCTGACCTGGTGGTCATAGGTCAAAAGGCAACACACATCCTGGATGTGTTGCCACTTGATCACAGGGCAACCGTTCCCACTCCTACCTATAGTTAATTTAGACTCGCCACTATCAGAAGCGAAGACGCTCATATCTATGGAAGCCTGTTTTTGCCAGAGGAAAAAAGTTTTTCAATCCACAAGTCATTTCAAAATCATTTCAAAATTTCAAGGTAGGCATCTGAGAAACTGTGACAGAAACAAGCTTCCTATAGATCTGCCGCCGTACAGGGAGGCCAGACTACTTTTTTGCACATATTCCAGCAGCATGGCTCTGGAGAGTCAGGGTGCTAAACACCCACTGAAAGCTCGTGACACATTACAAAAACTAAACCTCACAACAGATGCTCCAGACTGTTCCATAAGAAAAGGAGGTGATATAACACGGTAGTGAGAGACGTGCGCCTGACTCAGCATTTTGGCATCCAATTCATAAACGATCATTTATTCTTGTTAAAACAATAATGTTTTCAAATTCGTCTTGTTCATGATACGTTTAGATAAATCTAGGGTTTAAATATATGTATGTGTATTTTTTCAAATTTCCATTTTACATGGCACATCTCCTTCTTCTGGAACTAGGTTTGAGGGTATTTTTTTTTTTAGTTTCACCAAGTCGCTCACATCTCATCTGGAGGAGCATCTGAGCACACGTGCCCGTCCACATATGATATGCTTGCAAAGCTGCTGTACAGAACCTACCTGCTGCTTATGTTTAGATACAATCTCACACACACACACACACACACACACACACACACACACAGGGCGCTAAGCAATGCCAGAAGGATTAGCTTGTTAGACTTGCTAACCGCTTCTGATGTTCTAAATCTCCTCCTAGAATAGGATCGTCGGAAAGTATGTTCAGGCCTTCCTCATCAGTGTTTACTCGGTACGAGCTCACTCCACACGGAGGCGGCGGATGGACTCAAGCCTTTGAACGCAGTTCCATTTGCCCTGTTTGAGAACAAATGGGACCGCTCTTATTATTATTTTGTTTTGTGAGTGTGATTGCATTATTTATGTGTGGAGAACTGTCTGTATCAACTGTTTTATTGTGCTTTTAAGTTCTATTGGGTTTTATTTGGACAGAATAAATGCATATTTAAGCAAATATTAAGATCAAGATTTTTTTTTTTTTCCGATGTTCCATTCCAGTGCTGCTTCTTCATCACAGTCGAGCACAGTCGAGTAAAGAAAAGGCAATGTTTTAATTGCTTTTACAACTTTAGGAAAAAATCACAAATATTTACATTTAAAAATACTTCATCTGTTTTTCCTCTACAGAGATAGAAATGTTGAACTCAAAAGACATGCAGAGAGAACTGAGTCAGACACCGCCCCCTATTGGGCTCTGGAGGGATTACAACAGAAAAGGCGTACATAGGGCACAGACATACACAACAAATATATTTTTGGTAAAGTAAAAAGCGAGAGTACATTAGGAGCTTACACATACACTGGAGGGGGAAAAATAAACGTAGGCTAACACAGGTTAAATACAATGAAAATAACTTGATATATGCATGTTTTGCTGTAAAATTGTATGGAAAACAGTTATGACACAACTACAGCATTATACCCATAACATTCATGTCCCATTGGAGTCAGGTTGGAGTAAAAGCTAGCACTAAAATCTGGCAAGTGTGATTTTCCTCTTAGCTCTAGTGATTATTACTCTGATCTTGGCGTGCAAATATAATCAGTTCAGTAGCTGGAAGGAATAATTTTAAGTTTTTTTTTTTTTTTATTGTGTTGACAGTATTATGAATTCCCATTTCTTAATACATATGGGAATCTCCGGGAGTTCCCCTAAGCAGGTAGGTTTGAATACAACATTTATACGTTACCATGCCTTCGGTAATAATAAGTTGTAATCTGGGCTTTTTTGAGCATTATTCATATCAGATTGAGCCCTAGTGTGTGTGTGTGTGTGTGTGTGGTTTTTAGGCCGGGCTGGTTACAGGATGGACAATAGTGTTACAGACTGCCGTAGATCCTCTTGATGGTGTCTCCTTCGTCTTTGGCGATGATGCCCTTCTCGATGTATGAATCAACCTGCTGGTCCATGAAATCCTTCAGCTTGGACAGGTCATAATCTGGAAAGATGAGGAAAACAGGAGAAGATCGTGAGGTTAAAGGAAAGATCAGACATTCTAGAAGTGCTGTCTTTTTAAGATGGCACACCCAAACAGGGTTCAAGGAGGATTAAGGTCATTTTTGTCTTAGGCCGAAATGCACGAAATGAAATGAGGTCAAAAGATCTCAGAGCGAAACACACTTGCCAGTTAAATAACTGCTAACTAAAAGACTTTGTGACATTGTTTTCCACCATGCTCTAGACAACTAAATCTCATTTGAAACGGCACCATATGGCTGTGGCTATATTTAGAGTTGAACACAGCGTAACTCTGTATTATCCATCATGGTAACAAATGAGTGCAGGCAAACAGCTGCCGCAACACCAGCACCCCTCTCTGTGCTAACAGACTCTGAGTAAAGTGGCTGCAGGAGGCTAGAGGACAGCCAACAAGTCCCACAGTCACTCCCGAGCATCTTCCTAACAGCATTTCTAACAGAAGCAAATTATAAAACTGCTCGAAGATACAGTTGCTTTGACGAACATGATGTGCGTGAAGGATTAGCAGGATGTAATTAGAGACAGCACTACTTCTCTCAATCTTGGCACTGAGGAGCCAAGAACCCAAACCAGGATGCGGCCTCTACGTCCATCTGCTCTTCTGGCTAATCTCTGTGGTGCGTAGGCGTAAACACACACAGAGTATGCTGAGATTGTTGTAATGGGTGCTTCTGGCAGAGTGAGCACAATAAATGGCCCATCTTACACTCTCTGTTTCTATGAGGGTGTTTTTTTGTCTAACACTCTGAAAGAAGAGAGGACGAGGAAGACGAGAACTTTAGAGAGCGTTTTAAAGTGGTACAAGCTGTGCTAGATAAATAGGGCCTGGCGGTGTGTCGTTTTAGTTACCGAGTGTCTCGGTATGGGAAAATTGGGTGATTCTCGGGCACATTTTGACCCTCTGTGTGTTCAGCCTGAACTTGTCCTTTCTTACACCAGTATCAGTCTGTCTCCTGTCCAGATCACTGACAGGCAGGCAGGGAGGCCCTCTGTTGTCCCAGACAACTCCTCCATGCACTTGAATGCTAATGAGGTGTCCTATATAGAGCAAGGTCAGAGATGAGCTCCAGACAAAACTTCCCCGCTGCTTTGCTCCTCTCTGCTATTCAGTGCTTTAAGCTCACTGTCAGTCTCTTGCTTTTCTTCTCTTTCCCTTCCGTGTTTAAGATCCACACGAGAATCTGGGTCACACTTTGTTTTTTGTTTTCATTAATTCCTGTGTTTTTTGAGCCGTTTGTCTGGTTCACTATTGATCAGCTCAGATTAGATCAAGCCTGCCAGCACAACAGATATAAATCTCACTTAGCTGGAACTGTTTACTTTTTTTGCTGTTTTTGTCTGGGATTTCCTACTGAGATGATCGCCATTGGGTGGATGGCCTCAATAGTGAGAACTCATTAACATTTCATTCTGCTCTGCTTAATTAAGCACCACTGGGCATCGATTTTACTCTGTGGAGAGCACAACAGCAGGTTCCTCTTGTTAGACGAGTGCACCGTAGTGTGTGAACCTACCACAGCTCTGCAGACTGCAGACTTTCTTTATGGAAACCGATTGCCCCGTGAAAGAAATACATTTGAAAATGTGCAAACATTACACAAAAATCCAGAGACAGATGCTGATGCCTGATATTTTAGTGTTGTGGAGCAGGGTAAGTATCATAAATTATATTTCTTCTTCAAAGATGCCATCAATGATGAGGAACAGGTAGGAGGGAATAAATGAACTGACCTTTGTCTCTGAACAAGCCAGCTGTATCACAGCAATTAGGACAACTCATTTACAGTTATCCATATTCATGAGATCTGGAGTGGAGCGTCTATGTTAGCATCCCACTCTCTTTGAAAATGCAAATCAAGGCGAACAAAAGAGGCTTCAATTTTTCCTCTTCTTTGCCGCGTCGCCTCAGACCTGTGATCTACAGCTGTTCAGTAAGGAGAGGACAGCTTCTAGTTCTGGCTCGTAGTGCTCAACAAAGCCATTCAGGACTCAGCGTGGAAATGTTTGTGTCTTTTGCACAAAAAGCAGACACACGAGAACGAGGTCTGTATCCAGTTTTTCTCATCTATTGTCGAACGTGAGGACACGTCTCACCATCTTTGCCCTCTTCTTTGTTGTGTTTCTTCAGCCACTCGATGTTCTTCCTGATGGCCTCCAGATAAGTCTCGGATTTGCCAGGCCGATCTGGAGTTAGAGGAAAGGGGAAAATGAAGAGAAAGGCAGGCGACGAACCGGCTCGTTAAGATATTACAAAATGCAAAAAAAATTTCAGCTCAGGTAAGCTTTGTTTTCACCAAAGAATCAGTCTGTGCTGTCTTTGGCATGTCAATTATTTATAGCTCAAAACTCTTCTAAAGCAAAAAGCGCCACTTTGTTTATTTTTACTTTTTTCTTTCAGAAGCCATGGAAACACAGATTTTGACAACACAAGATTTTTCCTTTAATAACTTGGCAGCACAATAAAGCACTGCTGCTGAAATCAGATGCCCACTTTTAAAAAAAAAAATGGTAGAAATAGTGCCTGTTTGCCCCCCAAAATCAAAATCCTTTCTACTGGTTCTTACTAAATAAAGCTTCTTCTCTTTCATGCCCACACACACCCTGAACGCCTCCTCTTGCGCTGTATAACTCGGGTTAATCAGATGCACTTCCCCGCAAAATCTACAGCACCGTGTCCCACGCCAGTGAGTGTGTTTTCATCTAGTTATCGGAGAAAGTCTCTAAAGAGGTTAGGAAAACAAATCGGGTGACCAAAGTAAGAGGACAGGAAGACCAGAGGAAATCTCAGAATGAAAAGGCTGAACAACCTGGTTGTTGGACCTTTAAGTATCATTTGCTATACTCTGTCATCATAAGACAAGTCAGCCCCTTTTGACACAGGTTTAGGTGTGGGCTTGGTTAGATTACTAACCCCAGTATTGCTAATTTGTTTTGAAGTGATGGTTTTTAATATTCTAAAGACAGGAAGGATAAGCAAACAAATCAAAGGTGTGTGACACAACCATTGTTTTCCTTATTCATCATGAACAAACCAGCAGGAAAACAAGTTTTGGAAATAGTATAAAGCCACACTAGTGACAATGTTGCAGTGGTTACTTTTCCTTCTTTTCTAAACTCAACTGGTTGATCTTTGGGTCAATGTGACAAACAGCTGCAGAAACTTCAACATCCATTACTGCACTGCACTGGAAAAGCGTTCTGAAATTAGCATGTCCACCCAAGTGTGATGTGTTCTTTCAGAGCTTATCAGAGCTGGGCCTGATAAATGGCTATTCCAGAGTCACGTGACCCGGGACTGAATGACAGTTGTACCCTTTCCCCTTGGAGTCAAAAGCTAGACCTTAGCGAGGGTTGAAAGCAGGCCTCAAGTGTTGGTTTGCATTGAGATAATGATGATGTATTTGTTTTATTCCCTGTAACATTCACCGCTTGCAATCAAAGACATGTATAATTTCACTTTCTGACACAGAAAGCTCAGTTACAGTTATATATTTCAGCAAACTTGCAATGATTTGATGAATCACACATCAAATTTGGATTTTAACCCAATTTGTTCCGTAAATATCATATTATGCAACTCAGCCTTTTAACATGCAGACAAACCAGAGTTTAGTAGGCAGCACTTCATATTTCTTTCATTTCCTGCTGAAATGTCATGGTGGTAATCCTGCTCTGTGATTCATTTGTTTTTCCTCTTTATGCACTCCTGTTTGTGTGTGCGTATGTGCGTGGATTAGATTGATGAGTGGGTACAGCACAGCAGACAGGGACACAGAATAATGGCAGCTGTGACAAGCTTTCCTTTGAGTGCTATTGGACTGGCCTAGTTCAGGGACTCGAATACACAGCGCTGTATATTTCAGTGGCAGCTCTGCTGAAAAACAAAATGTCTGAAATTGTAGTCAGTCTAATAGTCAGGTAGGAACGGATGATTTGCTTCACAGAGCTAATCTTGTGGGATTTGCAATATTTGT